TGGTAGCTCCCAGTTATATGAGGTTGTGTTTTCTGTGAGATGCTCACAACTTCTGGCTATTATGGTCTTCATTAGATTTCAGGTCCCCAAGAACTGCAAATGGTGATTTACTGAATGAAGCTCTGTCACTAGTTTCATTTACCACTGGCCTCCAAAGTATTTTAACTCTGCAATGGCCAAATTTCTTGTGGATTGGGGTCTGCATGAAGCACCTGTCAAACTCAGGTGTCACACAAGAAATTAAACTGATATACAGATGACATCAGAACACCAGTAAAGTAAAACTTGAAACCAACATGAGTGGAATCAGAATTCTGTCCTGCAGCTCTATGTCAAAGATTCCCCAGCTCTCATCCAAGTATCACAGAACACCATGCTTCCCTTCCTGCTTCTGCTGACAACTCAAAGATCTTTGCTCTTTGAATTAAGGTGAAAAGGTTATAAATAAAAAATATTCCAGAATTGGTAACAGCAAGGTGGGATCTAATCAGAATACACTGTTTGAATACAATAAATCATAAAAAGAAAAGACATCTCTGATAATGGTGCATTCCGGAAAATATGGGCTGTGTTGCTTCTACAATAGGAACACTTCCAACAGCAAAACAAGAAGTCTTCTTTCTTCATTTATATTTTCTAGTGGAATGTCATTGGGGCCATTGGGGCTGTTAGGGGCCATGAGGTGCCTGTGGGTGTGGTGCCACGTGCCTCTCGTGTCTGGTGCTGCGGGGTAGTGGCTGCGCTACAGTCCCACGGGTGGCTCCAGGGAAAGGTGGCGTGGAGGGGGCTCCTGCAGGGAGGGTGAAATGAAGACAGTGGGAAGGTTCCCTCACAGGGGATGAGGCCATTCCTGACTGTGGGTGTGATAAGAAGCACGTCCATGGGTTTTCCCATAGTGATGAGTACAGCCTGCCATCCAAGTGACGCTGGCCATAGCTCTCAGACCCCACATGTCTGCAGTTTTTCATATTTTTGGATATCTGAGAAGGACCATGGAATACTTAGAGGATGCAAATGAGAATGATGAGGAACTTCCAGCTGTATTCCTTGAGAAAACTGTACTTATAAAATAGACGCATAAAACAGAATATTCATTCCCCAAAGGTAATGAAGAAAGGACGAAGATTTGGACCTGCCATGGGAGTTGTGCATACCCCCATTTTACTCAGCTGTTTTGAAGTTTAAAGGGGAGAAAAATGGAAAGTGAGACTCATCCCCTCGAAGCCTGAACTGGCAGAAGCTATGCTTCCACATGCATCTCCCCTGGCATCACTGGCCTCGACAGCACTGCAGGGGTCCTCCCCGCCTTCCCCACACAGCTGCCTGCTCCTTGCTCCTTACACACAGCTACTAGGCACAGCAATCACGTCCCTAAAACTCCCCCTGGGCCTTTGTGTGGCACAGATAGGAGTTCCCTCACCACAGATATGATGCTGCTGTTACTATTATAAGCCGCACAGTTTGGAATCAGGGTTACAGAGTAGATGTTCAGCCTCCCTTTGCCATTGCACAGAGGCGTGGAAGGACTGTGTGAGAAGAGCTGTTTGTCAAGAAGGCAGGCAGTGTCTTGCTTCACGTTTCTTGCCCACCTCTTCTTCACTTATAAAATGACAGACAGAGCACTAGAGCTGTGGAAGAAAGCAAACATGAAAATCAGAAAATCACATGGGTGATTCCTAGAATAGCTCCTGAGTATCCGAGATGTTAAATATGAATATGCACGTGAAACCACCAATAAACAAGTCCCTCAGGCTTATTCTTTTTTTTATTTGCCTTCTATAGTAGCAAGTACATCATCATGCTTGGGAGAAGACATCTTTCAAGTCTTTGTGCTGACAAAGTTGTGACTGCAGAATGATACTTCTATGTGTACTCAGTGATGTGCATTTATCTTCTTGACAAATAAAGGCTCAAAATAGGCCCTATGCCCTCTTTACCACGAATGCATTTGAGGAAGAAAAATACACAAACATGAAGTAAATAGAGACAAGAGCCTTTTAAGCACTGGAATGCTCCTCTTTGTTGTTAGTATAAGCATACTGAACCACAGCAGGCTGGCAAAAAATCTCAAAAAAATAGGTTAAGACTCAGCAACAGAACAAATGCTTTCTTGTGTTGCATCTAAGAAAACTGCTCTGAGCAAGGCTATTTGTCCCTCGGTCATCAAAACAATTTTAACATGAAAGATGATGCTGTTGATCCAAATGTATTCTGAACTGATTTTTTCTAAATAATAGCACAGAAAGATGAGAGCTATCTACAGTCTTCAGATTGCCAACAATGAGGCTGTTTAATATTCTGCTGAATCAATAGAAACAGTACTGTCATGACTCACCTATTTTTTCCTTCTCTTCAGAGAATTATTTATTTCTAACACAACTTAGGATTTCGCTCTACATAGCTAGATCATGAAACAGAAGTTCAGCTGTCTAAGAAACAGAAGACTCTAACCATGCCAACCACTTGTATCATTCCTTTTCTATAAATTATCAAGGGAAGGTACATCAAGTGCATATGCATTAGTTTGCTTGGAGAATATGTATCAAGCAAAATATGTTTTCCCCTTTGTGTTCCTTACGTGAATATGTCATTTTAAGAAGCTTTTTTTTTTTTTTTTTTTGTTTTCCCCAGCTGAATGGACTCCAATTGCAGAAATATCTGCCACTAAGCTTGAAAACTTTCATAACTCTTCATCATAAATATCAAAGGCTACAGATCCTCTGAGAGAGAAATAAAGATATCAGATCATTGTACTTTCTTGGAAAATGTTGCAAACTTGTTTACCACAAGACTGCTACAGTCAGCAAATAAAAGGAAAATCATGTTACTACTAAGAGTTGTTCCAATCCTGCAAATATTTGTTTTTGCGACATTTATGGAATATCACACAGCAAAAGGGAACTTAAGGGCAATTTTTCAAGTGTTAATACCCACAGCTAGAACCAGGCTTAGTTTCATTTTAATTTCAGAGGGATTTATAAATAAGTGTACATACAATATATTGGTTGGTGCTTGCCTCTATCAACTTTTATTTACTTCTGTGAAACTGCTCTGTTCCTTTTGGCATTGGTCCTTTGATGTGAAGAAAACACTTTACCTCACATTTATTTTTCCTGTCAAAGGATTTGGTTTGCCCCCAGAAAGAAGGTTGTACCCACTTTAACGTCAGGAAATGAAAAGTACACATAGATGCATTACCATCATCATTGTCGTAATTATTATACATGAAATGTGAAACAAAAAGAAATGCAATCATGCATAATTTTTACACAACAGACTTTATTTAGCAACATAGGCTTAAACAATTTAACACAACTCATTTTTTCTTGTACCCCCTCTCCCAAATGTGATGATGGCTCATTTGGAAACAAGGTGGCCTAAGGGCAGCTCTGTCAGCTGGCATGCACAACGCCTAGGATTTATTCCCAAACTGAGCCTCTTGATGCTTGGCTTGGCAGGAATGAGAGACAATGAAATGTTTTAACTAAGTTGAATCAGCAAGGCAGATCCTAGCCTTGTGTGGCTGATTTCTACCCGACAATATTTTATGATCCAAGGAGACCCTATCAAGTGCCCACTACAGAGGCAAGTGGTATGCGCATTGGTTAAAATAAAACAAACATCTTGTTTGTCTTGTGTTTCTAGAGGTTACTAACATCATATTGGAGATATTCTTTCTTGGGTTGAAACTATTTTAATACATTTGTCTTGTTCTTATGCCTAAATCTGACATGGAAGTCCACATTTTATACCAGAAATCAATATGATTCTTCACTGCAGAAGGAAAGGGCATCAATTAGTACAGACAGAACTTCATAGAATTCACTAGAAATAATCAACATTTTCTAGCATGACCCAAAAGCTACCTAAAGAAAAGAAATAAAACTTACGACTTTTTAGGACTAGACAGAAGACTTGGCTTATTATTTTACTATATGGGGTAGATTTCTATCTTGAGAACTGGACTCAGTACCTATGTCAGACGGCTCTCTGTATCCACAGAAAAGTCTATTTTAGAGTTCATGACTGCCTTTCAAAGTTGAGTCACGGCAACTCAAAAGCTTGGCTCTAGGAGAAAAAGGGTACAAAATAACATTGTAATATCTTTAAACCATCCCTTAAACAAAATGTTCTGTTTTTAATTGTTTATTTGATTCCTTGGGAATGTTTTATAGTGTGATAAAAATGGCTCATTTAGCTGTCCTTTTGGAATTATGATGAGCCGTTTAACTCAAAAGGCTTGGAAGAAATTACAATAATTGACATTGAAGATATGTCAAGATAGCAACATTACGCTCTCAGAAAGCTATCAAATACCCTCACTGCCTTAATTTACTCCATCACATTAGGGTACGGCTTTGATTACATTACCCTACACGCTACTTTTTCCTTTGTATCTGCCTTAAGCAAAGCCAGAGGGGACAGTACTCATTGAATGAGGACTTCATTGATATTTTGCTATAAATGTTTTATTCAACTTTTGTTATCATGGGGTACCTGAGTGCCGCTATGCCAACAGCTTGCCCCAGCCCCGAGCAGACCTGTACTGGAGCCACACCAACCTCGGGGAACATCCAGTCCCACAACAACTGCCTATAGCAAGGCACGCACTCGGCCAACTGATTTAATAGCTAAACCAACACCAAGCTGCTCCATTTGCCCCGAGCTTTCAGAAATGACTGAAATGAGCGCCCTGGGACCCTCCTCCCGAGCGGAGGTGCCGTTCAGCTCCCAGCCGTGGCAACTTCCAGAGGCGGAGGGGTAGAAGCTCCCCTCAGGGTGCTCCCCTCAGGCGGCCGCCCCATCCCGCGCCCAGCTCCCCTCAGGCAGCCCGCGGCTGAGGCGGGGCGGCCCGCGCGGCCCCTCCCCACGTCACGTGCCCCGCGGCGGAGCGGGGCGGGGCCGCGCGGCGGCAGCGCGCACCTGCGGCTCCCTCCGCCTTTGTGCGGTGCAGGTGCGGCGCTCCCCCCCCCCCCCCACCACCCCTCCCACCTCCAGCGCCCCCCGCCCCGCCGTGACGTCAGCGTGCCGCTCGCGGGGCACGATGGGAGAATCCCGATGCGCGGCGCCTTGAGGCGGCCCCGGCAGCGGCGCTCGGCGGGGGGGGGCAGCCCGGGAGGTGCCGGCGGGGGGCCGGGCCGGCGGTTGGCTGCCCGGCTCATCCCCAGCCCGGCCGGCGGCATGGCCCAGCCGCCCCCCTGAGGCGGCCGGAGCCGCCCCCCGAGCTGCCGCTTGCCGGCGGTAGGCGCCCCGCCGCAGCCCGCTCGACGGTGCCGGGGAGGATGCTGCCGCGGCTGGCGCTGCCCGGCTGACGCCCCCCGCCCCGTGCCCCCGTTCCCGTTGTTCTCTCCCCCCCCCCCCCCTCCTCACCCCTTCCATCCCCCGGCCGCTGCCGGCTCCATGAGCGCCTCGGCCCGCCCCTGAGCTCCCCCCCCGCCCGATGGCCGCGTCGGAAGAAGGCACCGGCTGCTTCCCCCCGCGGGGCAGGTCGCACAGCGACCCCAGCGTCCTCACCGAGCCCGCCGCTGCCGCCGCTGCCGCCGCCGGGGAGCCCGCAGGTAACGGCCCGAGCCCCCCGCCCCGCTCCGGGCACCGGCAGCCCCCGGGGAGCGGCGGGGCGAGGCGGCCGGCGGGCAGCGGGGCGCTGCGGGGCAGGGGTGGGGGGGGAGCGGGGTCACCATGGAGATGGGGGAAGCCGAGGCGGCCCGAGGGGCTTTCTGCCTCCCGAAGGTAATTTTCGCCTGGCGGGGAGCGGTGTAATCGGCTTAGGGAGCGTGGTCGCGGAGGAGGGTGTTGGGGGCACGCAGCTCAATCGGCGGTGCGTAAGGAGGATGTGGTGATGAGGTGTGGTTTGTTTTTTGTTTTTTTTTTTTTTTTTTTTTGTTTTTGTTTTTTTTTTTTTCCTTAATGATGTTTTCAGCTTAACTTCACTTTAAGGAATAATTGTAAATGTCTGTTGGTGGTGACTCAGTCGTTTCACGTTGTCAGAATCTAAGCAGCGATGTCCCCTTTAGAGAGTTGGGGGGGGGAACAACAAATAACAGCATCACTTTAATGTGATGTGATTGCAAGGAGAGGCCCAACAACAAGCTGGAAGCAAAGGCAAAAAGCACTGGGCCATATGAATAGATCTTCATGCAAGAGCTGGAAGGTTTTGCTGGGAGAAAAGGAGTAATCAACATAGCAGAACACAATGAATGGGGTGTTGATCATCTCTGCCCGTTACAATGAATTCTAAACCTAGGAATGGCTTTGGCGTGTGGGTCAGGTACCATCAGGCTGAAAGAGACAGTCCCTGGATGCAGTCTTGGACTGAACTTTAGTTCTGGCCCTTGTCAGGTTACTGAGTAAATAAGATATTCCAGGTTTTTTGATAAACTGGCTACGCTGCTTCCTTTTGAGCCAATGAGAATATTAATATTTAACTATTTTAAGTTTTCTCATTTATTTGTCTTCTCAAGTAATTCTGAGCACCTTGCTCTGGAGTGAAACGCAAATTAAATTAAGGAAAACAATAGATGATTTATCTCTGATGCCCAACTGTTCCGATACCCTAAGTAAAGGGAACAAAGGACTCTTCTAACGTGAACTGCTCGACTCACTCCCAAAGGGGCAATCTTGCCTGAAAGGAATGTATGTTTCTGCCGTTTGATTTCTGAAAGCAGAAGTGGCTAATGAAAAGAAGATATATGCAATCTCACTTTTAATCCTATGTGTTATTTTCTGCTAATCAACTATTTTGACCTTTGTGAAATATACAACAAAGAAAGTACACAACATGTCCGACACGTAGACAAAGATATAAACATTCTACTTTTTGTAAGGAGAAGGAGCTACCAATACTAAGCAGCATTTTTCCCCCCAATACAGATTTCATCAGATAAGACAGTGTCCCATTGCATGGCAGAAGCTATACTAATATGCAAGAAAAGATGTCTTTTATGGTATCATTGTATACATACAATACGTGGAGAGAAACAAAAGGTGATAAATGACTATGGGTTTTATCCAGGTAGGTATAAATAGTTGGTAGTAGAGTTAGTGTGTTTGGTAAGCTTTTCAGGTTTTCCATATACTAATTTAAATTTGTTTATCAATTAGTATTGAGCACCTGTATGTTTTAAACTAATAATAAAATGAACACAAATTACTTATTTAAATAATATTTTACCCATATTGTAAGTAATCAATCTGAGTAATTTAATGCAATCAGCTACTCAAAATCTGAAACGTAATTTATAATACTGTAAGCATTCTATATGCTAAACTACCATTGTACTTTATTTCATGATGTTATTCTGGAAGACAACTTTGTCATTGTCATTAAATTATCAACATAATCATCTACAGACTCTCAAGTCAAAAGAAAGTCTTAGGAACACTAAATGGTAAGAAGTTTGTGTTTATATCCCAGTCCTGCTCACAGACAAGTCTTGTAGAGAAGTAAGTTTGAATGTGCAGGATTCCTTGTTCGTTTAATAATGAACATAATGCATAATGAAATGCATAAGCAGGCATTTTCATATATGGTTAAATCATAAAGACAAATAAGCTAATAGCAAAACAATAGTCACTGAAGAGTCACTACAAAAACAATTCAACTTTTGTATGGCGTTGGAATAATGCTGTATTCTCACCAGAGATTTAGTCTTGTTTTGCAACATTGTCTTGAATGCATGACGAGGTCAAGAATTATTCTGCACCAATTCATTTGGCTAGGTCTACCCTATGAAAGGATATCATGGTTGGAAATATGGTGGTAGATGAAGTCAACCTATCTCCTAAAGATTTTCCTGGTGTTCACGTTTGTTTGTTTTATATATTTTTTAATTTATATATTTTATATATATTCTTGACCAGAAGAATTATAGCTTTTTTTTCTTTTTTAGCCAAGCCTTATCCAGGAGAATGATGCTAAACTGCTAATGTAGAGGTGGAAGCATATAGCTCTTTGTGATTTTCATGTGTTAATCTAAGAAAATTCTCCGATGTGATGCTTCATTTTCCTTTCTCTCTCAAAACACCAGCTTAACAGTTGTACTGACTGTACAAAGCATGGTTACAAGACTTGCTGGCTGTCTTGCAAGTTCAAAAGCCTTTATCACTGGACAATATAATGTCTTTTTAGGTGATACTGAGCAATATCAACATCAGACTCAAGGAACTTAGGATGAGCAGACTGCAGATGGCAAGTGTCAGTTCACCTTCCTATTGTCATCTGGTTAGCTTTCATTTGCAATTATTTGATGAACTGCTGCTTGAGGTCAAATCTCAAAGGGAACTTCCCATGTGAGAAAAGATTTTTTTTTTTAAGGACTTGCTCTTCTTCCACAATGAAATAACTAAGTAACTGTCTGGTTCAAATAGCCTTAGATCTTTTCTATGAAAGGAAAGAAGGTAGAAAAAAAATGTGAAAAGTTCTGGACATTCACAATCCTGACCGATGTCAGCAGCAGCTGCAATTACTCCAAGCCTTGAACAATCAAGACTTCATGATAAAGCTTATTATTTACTGTGATTTTCTTTACAAAGCAATCACTGTAGAAATGAAAAGCTATTCTATAACCTTGGTTTACTAGAAGAGATGTAATCTTTACAGACCACAGTGAATCTCATAACATGTAAAAAAAAAAAATTAACACATTAATCTCATCTTATTAAATGTTCCTGTAGTAAATAAAATAAACAAGGTGTTCAGTAAGCTAGACTAGAGGCACTTAATAGCTACTTATTCTAAAACAGAAATACAAATTTGCTGATTTAGATTCTTCATATGCAACTTTAATTAAACAGCAGTTCCTCACAGTGACCAATTAAGACACCACAGCCATGGTTGAGAAGAAAATATGGACTAAGTTATCTGTGGCAGGCTCCACTGACAAATAGGTAATTTCCTCCAGCATTTAAATGGTACATACAGTTCCTATTCTTAGCATAGGGAATACTGGAAACAGCGTGAGAAAGGCAGGAAAGAATCAGTGTTCCTTTGTTTTAATTGAATTAGTAATTATCTCCTTTAAGATAATAAAATAATGCACTTCAGCCTGCGATTTAAGCAAACTATCTTATGGCTGGTGAACAATATTTTATGAGCAAGCCCAGCAAACGCTGGTTTTCATATTTCATTCTTTACCAAAGCACACTGTCCTGATTCAGATATATCTTGAATTTGAGAAACCCACATAAAAATATTTGTGTCTTGCTTAATTAGAGACTGGCTTAAGACTGGACTGTTTTTAAGAAAGTTAATTTCATTTTTTCGTATTATGTCATGACTTAATGCCAGATTCACAAAGAAGAATCCCAATTACCACCTTAATCTGTAAATCCTCATAGGAGAGATCTCCAAAATCAGAAGGATCTTTCCCTGCTGCCATTAAGACAACTGTCCAAAATCCCATCATTTTCACTGAGTTCTGGAGAAGGACAGAAAATGCTATTGTATCAGATTCTAGGTGTAATGATGGAGCTTGCTTGATTGTAAATCTGAGGTTAGCTCTGAGCTGAAAAACTATTCTAAAAATACCACATACTTCCATAACTTCAAGGGGAAATTTGGAAGCAGTAATGAAAGCTTAAAACTGATAAAACATTAGCTAAGTTCCAATTTAAAAAAAAAAAAAAAAAAGGTAGTGGAAATTGAGTCAAATGGCACAGGACAGCAATCACTCAAGAAAACCTCACACAAAGAGGGATATTAATTCCAGTGATCAGACTTCTGTTTCTTTTCCCTTTCTTTCCCTTCTTCCATCTCTCCAGGGAGGGATCCAGAGAGAAAGGAGTGTCTAAAGAGGACAGGGATATGAAATTTGAATCAGATTTGAACATTACCATCTATTTGAGAAACAGTTGGAGGAAACCAAAATATTGCTCTCATTATATCCTTCCAGCAGTCAAAGGGCATAAAAAAGATGGACAGCCTCATTTGATTCACAGTCATAAAAGAGGGAGTTCCACAGAATGAAGAAGAGTACACTTGTGTCAAAGCTACCTGATACAATGTGAAAATATTGCCCTTTCCCCCTCATTTTTGGAAAAAATCCATCTTAATTTGTAGAAGTATACATTGCATTTTGTTCTCCATGCAGCTACTTTTCCTCCCTGACACCATGCGCTTAAAGAATGACTTTTCAGGAGCAGCAAGACTGAGATCTTCACTGGAGGTTGCCAATGGTCTACCATGGCCTCTGTCTCCTCCAGTACAGGAGCTGTACCAAGGCACGGAGCTGCTCTGGTGCCAGCAGCAGTGTTAGATCTCAGTAACAGCTGTATTCACATGAGTTCTAGAATGCTGCTTGGAGAAGAGTGATGGAGGCTTCTCAGCCATTGCACTAATCTGTGGGGTGCTTCAAGATCTGTCAAGCTAAAGCTGCTTCAAGATAGCTGTTCCAGATATGTACCAGATATGTACAACTACTTTGTTGCCAGACACTAATTCCCTTTTTATTTCTTTTGATATGTGTAATCAGCAGCCCTGAAGTAACTAAAGGAGAGAAAACTGCATAAAACTTAAAAATCCTTCATCGCTGTTCTTAGTTATCATAATTCAAAAGTTCTG